AGCCGTTGTCAGTAGAACAAGAAGTAGACTCTGGCGCGCTCAAGGCATTAGTCCACTGTGAAGGCGAAGAAAGAGGGAGAGCAGCGTGAATCATTCCCTTCCCCTTCTACCTCTGGTAACAAACACTTCCCACAAAGAGACTGTGCAAGCAGAGATGGTGTGTGGGGGTAATTACACCTCCTTCGAGGATCGGCAACGTCGTATCAATGACAACGTTAGTTGAGTTTGGTCACTTGCTCCCGACGTGTTGACAGACAGGCATCTATAACGCCAGTTGCAAATGCATGGTGAACGGAAATTAATTTTGGACTAATTTAAAGGCAATGTCAGCAATAATACTCAAATGTCTTGGTAGAACTGAGGCTTACATGGATTGTGTACCTCAGTTCAATGATGATTTCCATCCCGGCCTGAAGAACTGTGCTGTTTATCGAATCGAGCCCAGGCACGAGGGAGGTCACATTTCCTCAAAGGCAAGATTAGCATTCGCCCCCATTCACCTTCAACTTCATGCACCAACAACTTGTGGTTAATCACCTCTGCAAAATTGACGTAAAGGATAATGTGGCTCCCGTTCTTTGCACGGGAAATTTCACCACGCGATATTAGTTTCTGCAGTCCTTGAAATGTAGGACAAACACAACCACCACCATTGACATGCCAAAACGACACCACCCACTCCTCAGCGTGTGCTATGCAAACTCCCTCCCAAAACACACATTCGAACCCTTAAACACATTTAAATGTGCATTCGAATCGCCAGTTGCCTAGCCCCTCGAGGAGAAGTACACTGTAACACCGAATGCTGCGCCTCGTGCTGCATTTCTCACCACCATTTGCACCAATTGCAATTGCCTGCTGTGCAAACATGTGTTTGGAGATTCCAATTCTACATTTCTTCAAAATAACTAACCTGCTTCTCGGATAAAGCGCGCGTTTCCTCTTCATATTACACCGGAATTCCTCCCACCTACACGCCACTACCTGTAGGCTCGCGCAAGGCAAGGAATGCGAGCTCGTTTACGAATGGTTGCATTTCCTCCCTCTCAACCACTTCGCATTTCTCCAACACCACTCAGCCTGGTTGGGCCAGTGCCACCTACTGCACAATGAAGGTGGCATTTTGATAGCGCATCTGACAGGCTCGTAGTCAGATCCCAGTCTTTCACCCATTCCTCATCACTCTTACCACAGCGCGTGCATTGCAAGCACACCACAACGCAGACGCCAAGGTGCCTTTTGCTCGAAAGTCCATCAGAAGGGGCGTGTCTCATGTGAATGCGCATTCCCGTAGATGCTCCCACATGGATCCATTTCAAGCGCATTCCTGCGACACTCAACACTCGACGCAGATGTGTGCACCAATTTGGTCTATGCTCACATTCCTCCCTTTGCAATGCTTTCCCTGAGGTACTCAGAAAGCCATTAGTCAAAGTGCTCGGTGGGAATAGGCAGCATAATAAGGGCAGGTTACATGTGCATATTTTGAATGAAGTGCAAAACAAGTGCTTCTGCATTTCCAATTGCAGTACTTCCCACATTTCGATATGATGCTGAACGAGGTGAATGCTGGATGTGAGTGAGGGATTAAAAACGCTTAAAATGGTTGCGATGCACAAACCGAAGCAGTGCAATGATTTATGGGGAGCTCGAAACCAGAACTAGTCGAAGATGCCAGCAGCGGTGCATGCACATTGGTGTCGTATTCGGCACAACCAACAATCCAGGCGACCAACGAACGACTGCTGTGATCACTTCACCTGTACGGTTGATATTAATAGGAAGAAGAGGAGAAACGCGATTTGGACAAATGTGGGAAAGGAGAATTGCCGAAGCAGATTGAGATGGAAAAAGGGAAATCGAAGAGGATAGTGAAGGCAAATGAAAAGGAGGGAATGGGTAGTGGAGGGAGAAGAAGTGTCACGTCGACCTAAGGCTTTTAAACTACCTTTCGCCAAATGAAGTGAATATTGGATGTGAGTGATGGATTGAACATAATTGAAATACTGCCACGAATCGTGAGCACCGGAAAGGCAGAACTAGTCAAAAGCAGCAGCGGTGGCACCTCACTATTTCGACAACACCAATATCGAGTGACATTTGACACAACAAGCAATCCACGACAGTAATCGGCTAAAGGAGGATTTGTGGAAGGAGTCGCCCATCTTAGCAGTCGTCACGTTCGCTGTGCTGCAAATAAGAGTGAAAGATTGGTGTCAATGCCATTCTGAGTCTTTCTAGTTACAGTTCATAGCAGACTTCGTTCGGTAGAAGTGAAGTCACACAACAGGAGCAGAATGTGCAGCAGGCTACGAAATACCACATTTACTGCTCGAATCTGAAGAAGAGGTAAAGAGCACATCGCACACATGTCGAGCAACACGTCCTCAGTCGACAGAATCGCCATCAGGTGAGGCGGCGATGTTGAAACTCCTTTCTGAGATTAATTCCCTTCGAGGATGTGAGGTCGCTCCTCCTACAGTAATTCCATTCTGCCCAGTCCACACGAGGCATATTGTTCTCCACACCTTAACTACTCTTCAACATCCGCACTGCACTACCTCCGAGTGCAGCATGTACATCAATGCGACATTGCATCATTTTGTACGAGGAAGATGTCCACTCCACAGTCCACTTCTGTTGAGCTGCACTAATTAAACAATTGATGACAATCCCAAGAATGTGGTCGAAGCTGTCAGCAGCACCACTGTACTGTGGATTTCTGGGTGTTGTCAGTTGATGTCGGCAAATATTGCCATTCACCCATGATCGTTTCCTCTGTGCCACGAATTATTTCGCATGGAGTGTCACTGATGCACCTGGTGCTCCCTCTCGAAGGAAAGTCCTCAGCACTACGTTCGACCTCAAGACAACAGCAGACAGGGTGTTCAGATGACAGCCAGAGTTGAGAGCAGCCGGTTTGTAGTATTTGATTACATTAGGCGATAAATATGCTTTGTCAGACATCACAAACCATCAAACGCGATGCCTGTTGAAGCAGTTAGGGGTGGAGATTGTGCAAGCACCAAGCCGATGTATCCAAAGGCTTGCCGAATTCACCATCCTTTTCTCATCATCAGCATGTGAGAGGGAGACACTGACGTGCGAGTCAAGATGGCGCTTCTATTCTCTCGCTGCTAAGGTAGGTGCAGTGTCAAAAAATTCAATACTTATTGTTCCATTCCAGGAGGAGATAATGCGGTTAGATCTCCGAGGTGCCAAGGTCATTCACTTGAGGCGACATGTGTGCACGAGATTCGCAGTCGTCTCGTGCGTTCCACTAATCCACAAACACATGAGCAGTAAAGGCCTCTACCCTCAAGTCATTGCCACCTTCAGTCCCCCGGTTGGTATGGCAACTGGTTGAGAGTGGGTGCTCATCTCCCATGACCGTGGTCGCACACTCCCATCTCATAACACCTATCAGAAGCAGCAGTGAGAATGCTGAATCAACTATACAATGCGGTACTGCACAACGAAGGAGTGAGCAGCCTGTGCTAGTACAACATTTCATTGTTGAATCAGTTAAACCGACGCAGCCCGCCAATTTGCCACCAACACTTAAGAACTGCAGGCGATTCAGTTTCAAGGCTTCATAATCTGTGACTAGAGAGCAACGTGCAGCCTTGTCAACAGCTATAGTCCACTGAATTAAAACGTCGAGCAATGCATACAAGAGGTCACCCATCTCGCTCTGCCAATGTGGCAATGCCTATCAACAGGTGAGACGTCTACTATCAGGGTTGGTGACCAATTCGGGAGAAAGAGGCGCACAACAGCCTAGGTGGCATGAAGAGTGGAAGTGACTTGCCACGTACCTCCTTGTGGCTCAGAGCAAGTCATGCTCAAGGAAGGATGGGCGGTGGAATGCAGGGCACTCAAAGCAAGTATTGATTATCACGACAAGCATTAGATGGAATCTATCAAGTGACGGTAAGGCAAGAAATGCAAAGAGTATAACTGGCAGATGATGCATCACCGCCTGCTCCATTGTGGCAAAACGTCGTGGCGGAGGGACATCTTGAGGAGGTGGAAATGCGGTAGTAAAAGCAGTTCCGTGCATCCTCCTCATCACACGTACGAGATGCCACAATGTGCACTGTCGAAGTGCAAGCTCACTGAACGACTGTGCAACTGAACGGGTGGCTGTCTTTCCACCCGCTGCACCTGCAAATCCACAGCCTTCCAAATGAGTTCTCTCAAGCCCGAGGGACTGACTCTTTGCATCACCTCGAGTAGCACCCACTTTGCCTTCATCTCATCGGGAGCATTGCAGCAGCGGTGCAGATATCGCCCTGGTTCGCACAAACGTCAGTAGGAAAGAGGGAGAGAAATGTCTCCACCTCACTTGTGCTTCAAACCAATGATTGCAAAAATGTGACCAATGACCACACGAGGATGCTCACCAAGTGAGGTAGGAGTCACCAGTAGGCGATTGGCAGGAGTCCAATACCCTCTTTCAGTTTTCCAAAAACACCTCTAGCAGGGACGTCACAGTGGATCTCATATCCACAGCACAATCAAGGCGGATAAGGAAACCAAGAGGGAGAGAGAGACGGGAAGAGAGGGGACAGGGAGGGAGGGAGGGAGAGAGGGAGGACGCACTACTGTCTGTGTCAAGAACGAACACGTGTTTACACAGCGTGCGTCAGACAACTTCACACGATGTGGCTGGAAGTGCGGAAAGCTGTGTTGGAGCGCAGAGCGCATTGTGCTATAGGCTCCATCACCTGTGGCAGACTGAATGTGGACTGGCATGTCACACATACGCCACTTGGTATTTTGACATTGACAGATCAGGGCATTCAGATCTGCTGTCTGATTGTCTGCTAGTGTGGCTGTTTGCTGAGGCACATCTGATTACACCTTTGATCTCCCGCTTCTGGCGGCGTTTCAACCCTTTCCAGCTCCCCTCGATGTTATTTTTGTTGTTGTTTTTGCTGTTGCATTTGCATGCAACCATCGACAACACTGTCACAGCGACATCCACACCCTCATTCCGCTCACCTTCATTCGGTTCACAGGTTACATTCAAATACAATAACAAGCGACACCTTATGATGCAGATGAAGCAGATTGACTTCATCAATCAGTCCGCCACGGCTGCTGTGTCTACACTCCACAAGCGTACTTGCAACCACCTGCTTCAATCCCATTCTCCCATTCCACGCTTCTGTCACCTCCATTCCCTTCTCTCACAAGCATATCAAACATGGTTCCTTCAACTGTCTCGACACCCACACACACTGCACACAAGTACGTAGAGTTGCCCTCAGCATTATGCAAGTGAAGCAAAACTGGTGGATGTGCAAGTGCTCTGTCCTTCATTCACCCTCTCTCACACACATTTCCCAATCACCGTAAAGAAGTGAACCATTGGTCTCTCCACCGTTAAACATTCACGAGTAGGGCATCCCATCCTCAAATACCGTGACGTGTCTGCATTTTCTCACGCAGACACATGAGTGAACAGAACCTCGAGTTGGCAAAACTGCAGTCCTGCATTTGGAACATCGAAGCGTCACCTGTAAGAGGGACCTGGTACCACTGGATTAGATTCGCGTTCTGCACAACTGGCGATCCATGACAATAATGCGATTAAACTCTATTTGTAGACAAAATCAGGCATCGTAACATTCATCACGTCGCCCTCGATACCCCCCTCTTTGCACTAACCAACACACCCACTGCAGCCAACGAAACAAACATGACGACCTCCATTTCCAACCTTGCCAATCCTAGCCGTCTGGCACCAACCAATCACTCAAAATACATCTACCTCCCTTCTCACTTCCAATTTTTCCCTGTTGCCTTCCGCATACCACGTCACATAGTCAAGTTTGAGCCGACTATGAAGTGAAGTGAGAACAATGAAATGTGGTGTGTGAATTGCAGTGTTCTTGAGTGGTAACAATGCTGCTGTCGTCTGCTCATTTTCTAATGTGACCACAAATTTAGTGATTCAGAATAGTCCAAAATAAGCACTTCAGATGGTTATACCACTAAATTT